AAGAGGAGGCGGTGAACACGTGCTGATGGGGAGAAATCCAGCCAGAAATGCCCAGGCTGAAAAGACTGTCTCTGTGTTTCCTGGTAGGCAGGAAAAAGGGGAAATTGGTATGTTACAGTGCCTGGTAGGCATGTCTTCTAAGAGGCGTGCCTGCTTGTGGCAGTGTCTCTGCCCTTCACACATGAGGGTGTGTGTGAGTAGCAGAGAGGAGACACAGCAGTGTCAGGGAAGTAAACAGACGAGCTTGCTGGTGCCCAGGGCGGCCGGCTGTCAGGCTTGTTCATGGCAGTGTCTCAAGCAAGAGAGTGTGATGCAGAGAATGAATGCAGACTTAAACTTTCAGTCTAGTACTCGCTTCGGCAGTGCATATATGAAAACTGGAGCGCTACAGAGAAGATGAGCATGGGTGGCCCCTGCGCAAGGATGACACCCAAATTCGTGAAGCTTTCCATATTTAAAAAGCAAAACAAAAAAAAACAACAACAAAAAACAACTTTCTGAGTATAAATAGCTATGAGCTTCCTGGCAGGCAGGGAGAGAGGTGAAATAAGTCAGCGCCCCCTCAGTGTTTTCCCACCATTGCCTGCCGGCTTGTGACGGTGAATGTGGCTGCATGCAGAGGTGTCTGTGTGTGAGAGGGAGTCACAGAGCTGCAGGTGGGACACATTTCAGAGCTGCCTGGAAGCCAGGGTGAGAGGGGAAATAGGTTGACTTTGAACCTGGTCAGATGTATGTTTCTTGCTGTGTGTGGCCAGCGTTCCTGGGGGATCAGACAGGGCAGCGCAGGGCAGTCAGGCGTACGCGGCTGTCCTCGGCAGGGCTCCAGGGCCGGGCATAGCCGGCGTGGGGCAGCAGCAGGCGGTCCTGTGTGCCGTCGGGGCTGACGAGGCGCTGGACAGCCAGCAGGTAGTCCCGGTGGGGTGCCAGCAGTGGGCAGGGGCAGTGGCCCAGCGCCCACACGTACTCGTGGGCCCGCAGTGGCGTGCGGTTCTTGTAGATGAGCTGGATACGCACCTCGTAGCGGGTCTCCTGGGCCTGGCGGTGGCGGCCCAGCACGCGGGCCTGGAACGCTGTGGGCAGGGTGGGCGCTGAGCTGGCTGCAGGCTCTGCTCTGCGCAAATCTCCACGCGCCCGTTGCCAGAAGAGGGGCTGAGGGTCAGGTGGGACCTCGGGATCTACAGTGACTGGAGTCAGGCTCACATCAGGTATCAATGAGGGGTCAGGGGTCACATAAGGGTCAAATGAGGGTCAGGAGAAAGGGTCAAGGGTAAAGTCAGGTGAGGGGCAGAGATCAGGAGGAAGCCAGGTCAGTAGGGGGCTAAGTGAGGGAGAGCCCCGGGGGTCTCACCAAAGTCACTGGCGCAATAGTGAAGCAGTCGGTGGGCGCGGCCTCGGGTGTCGGGACAGGGTGGGCAGGGGTCTGTGGGGTGGGCAGTGCTGTGAGGGGCACAGGCCTCAGCCCCCACTCGTCCCCCACCCTGGCGGTCCCCACCTCACCTGGGGCCAGGGGTGGGGTCTGTGCAGGGGACACTGTGGGGGCTGCGGGGGGCTGGGGCTCCACCTCCCGGGTCTGTGGCTGCCTCAGGGGCCAGCCCAGGGCCTGCGCCCGAGCCTGGAAGGGGCTGTAGCGTTCCCGGGGGAGCCAGAACTCAAACTCGATGCCCGGGTTGGGCTCCTGCAGGAGGACCTGAAGAGGGGGAGGCACACAGGGAACTGCTCCAGAGGCTGGGGTTGCCTCCTCCCTCTGATGCTCTGATCCCAGCCTCCCCACTCTGACGCAGTCCCCAGCCTCCCTCCTCTGACCCTGTCCACAGCCTTCCCCATCTGACCCTGTCCCCAGTTTCCCTCCTCTGACCCTGTCCCCAGCCTCCCTGCCTCTGACCCTGTC